GGGTACACGGAAGGTTCTCTGGTGTAACACTACTGCAGGGTACACGGAGGGTTCTCTGGTGTAACACTACTGCAGGGTAACCGGAAGGTTCTCTGGTGTAACACTACTGCAGGGTACACGGAAGGTTCTCTGGTGTAGCATTACTGCAGGGTACACGGAAGGTTCTCTGGTGTAACACTACTGCAGGGTACACGGAAGGTTCTCTTGTGTAACACTACTGCTGGGTTCACGGAAGGTTCTCTGGTGTAACACTACTGCAGGGTACACGGAAGGTTCTCTGGTGTAGCACTACTGCAGGGTACACGGAGGGTTCTCTGGTGTAACACTACTGCAGGGTAACCGGAAGGTTCTCTGGTGTAACACTACTGCAGGGTACACGGAAGGTTCTCTGGTGTAGCATTACTGCAGGGTACACGGAAGGTTCTCTGGTGTAACACTACTGCAGGGTACACGGAATGCTATCTGGTGTAACACTACTGCAGGGTACACGGAAGGTTCTCAGGTGTAACACTACTGCAGGGTACACGGAAGGTTCTCTGGTGTAACACTACTGCAGGGTACACGGAAGGTTCTCTGGTGTAGCACTACTGCAGGGTACACGGAAGGTTCTCTGGTGTAACACTACTGCAGGGTAAACGGAAGGTTCTCTGGTGTAACACTACTGCAGGGTACACGGAAGGTTCTCTGGTGTAACACTACTGCAGGGTACACGGAAGGTTCTCTGGTGTAACACTACTGCAGGGTACACGGAAGGTTCTCTTGTGTAACACTACTGCTGGGTTCACGGAAGGTTCTCTGGTGTAACACTACCGCAGGGTACACGGAAGGTTCTCTGGTGTAGCACTACTGCAGGGTACACGGAAGGTTCTCTGGTGTAACACTACTGCTGGGTTCACGGAAGGTTCTCTGGTGTAACACTACTGCAGGGAACACGGAAGGTTCTCTGGTGTAACACTACTGCAGGGTACACGGAAGGTTCCCTGGTGTAGCACTACTGCAGGGTACACGGAAGGTTCTCTGGTGTAACACTACTGCAGGGTACACGGAAGGTTCTCTGGTGTAACACTACTGCAGGGTACACGGAAGGTTCTCTGGTGTAACACTACTGCAGGGTACACGGAAGGTTCTCTGGTGTAACACTACTGCAGGGTTCACCGAAGGTTCTCTGGTGTAACACTACTGCAGGATACATGGAAGGTTCTCTTGTGTAACACTACTGCAGGGTACACGGAAGGTTCTCTGGTGTAACAATACTGCAGGGTACACGGAAGGTTCTCTGGTGTAACACTACTGCAGGGTACATGGAAGGTTCTCTGGTGTAACACTACTGCAGGGTACATGGAAGGTTCTCTGGTGTAACACTACTGCAGGGTACACGGAAGGTTCTCTGGTATAACACTACTGCAGGGTACAGGGTACACGGAAGGTTCTCTGGTGTAACACTACTGCTGGGTTCACGGAAGGTTCTCTGGTGTAGCACTACTGCAGGGTACACGGAAGGTTCTCTGGTGTAACACTACTGCAGGGTACACGGAAGGTTCTCTGGTGTAACACTACTGCTGGGTTCACGGAAGGTTCTCTGGTGTAACACTACTGCAGGGTACACGGAAGGTTCTCTGGTGTAGCATTACTGCAGGGTAGACGGAAGGTTCTCTGGTGTAACACTACTGCAGGGTACACGAAAGGTTCTCTGGTGTAGCACTACTGCAGGGTACACGGAAGGTTCTCTGGTGTAGCACTACTGCTGGGTTCACGGAAGGTTCTCTGGTGTAACACTACTGCAGGGTACACAGAAGGTTCTCTGGTATAACACTACTGCAGGGTACAGGGAAGGTTCTCTGGTGTAACACTACTGCAGGGTACACGGAAGGTTCTCTGGTGTAACACTACTGCAGGGTACAGGGAAGGTTCTCTGGTGTAACACTACTGCAGGGTTCAGGGAAGGTTCTCTTGTGTAGCACTACTGCAGGGTACACGAAAGGTTCTCTGGTGTAGCACTACTGCAGGGTACACGGAAGGTTCTCTGGTGTAACACTACTGCAGGGTTCACCGAAGGTTCTCTGGTGTAGCACAACTGCAGGGTACACGGAAGGTTCTCTGGTGTAACACTACTGCAGGGTACACAGAAGGTTCTCTGGTATAACACTACTGAAGGGTACAGGGAAGGTTCTCTGGTGTAACACTACTGCAGGGTACACGGAAGGTTCTCTGGTGTAACACTACTGCAGGGTACAGGGAAGGTTCTCTGGTGTAACACTACTGCAGGGTACAGGGAAGGTTCTCTGGTGTAGCACTACTGCAGGGTACACGAAAGGTTCTCTGGTGTAGATCTACTGCAGGGTACACCGAAGGTTCTCTGGTGTAACACTACTGCAGGGTACACAGAAGGTTCTTTGCTGTAGCATTACTGCAGGGTACACGGAAGGTTCTCTGATGTAGCACAACTGCAGGGTACACTTAAGGTTCTCTGGTGAAACACTACCGCAGGGTAAACGGAAGGTTCTCTGGTGTAACACTACTGCAGGGTACACGGAAGGTTCTCTGGTGTAGCATTACTGCAGGGTAGACGGAAGGTTCTCTGGTGTAACACTACTGCAGGGTACACGGAAGGCTCTCTGGTGTAATACTACTGCAGGGTACACGGAAGGTTCTCTGGTGTAGCACTACTGCAGGGTACACGGAAGGCTCTCTGGTGTAACACTACTGCAGGGTGCACGGAAGGTTCTCTGGTGTAGCACTACTGCAGGGTACACGGAAGGTTCTCTGGTGTAACACTACTGCAGGGTACACGGAAGGCTCTCTGGTGTAACACTACTGCAGGGTACACGGAAGGTTCTCTGGTGTAGCACTACTGCAGGGTACACGGAAGGTTCTCTGGTGTAACACTACTGCAGGGTACACGGAAGGTTCTCTGGTATAACTCTACTGCAGGGTTTACGGAAGGTTGTCTAGTGTAACACTGCTGCACTGTACACGGAAGGTTCTCTGGTGTAACACTACTGCAGGGTACACGGTAGGTTCTCTGATGTAACATTACTGCAGTGTACACGGAAGGTTCTCTTGTGTAACACTACTGCAGGGTACACGGAAGGTTCTCTGGTGTAACACTACTGCAGGGTACACGGAAGGTTCTCTGGTATAACTCTACTGCAGGGTTTACGGAAGGTTGTCTAGTGTAACACTGCTGCACTGTACACGGAAGGTTCTCTTGTGTAACACTACTGCAGGGTACACGGAAGGTTCTCTGGTGTAACACTACTGCAGGGTACACGGGAGGTTCTCTGATGTAACACTACTGCAGGGTACACGGAAGGTTATCTGGTGTAGCACTACTGCAAGGTACACGGAAGGTTCTCTGGTGTAACACTACTGCAGGGTACACGGAAGGTTCTCTTGTGTAACACTACTGCAGGGTACACGGAAGGTTCTCTGGTGTAACACTACTGCAGGGTACACGGGAGGTTCTCTGATGTAACACTACTGCAGTGTACACGGAAGGTTCTCTTGTGTAACACTACTGCAGGGTACACGGAAGGTTCTTTGGTGTAACACTACTGCAGGGTACACGGAAGGCTTTCTGGTGTAACACTACTGCAGGGTACACGGGAAGTTCTCTGATGTAACACTACTGCAGTGTACACGGAAGGTTCTCTTGTGTAACACTACTGCAGGTACACGGGAGGTCTCTGATGTAACACTACTGCAGTGTACACGGAAGGTTCTCTTGTGTAACACTACTGCAGGGTACACGGGAGGTTCTCTGATGTAACACTACTGCAGTGTACACGGAAGGTTCTCTTGTGTAACACTACTGCAGGGTACACGGGAGGTTCTCTGATGTAACACTACTGCAGTGTACACGGAAGGTTCTCTTGTGTAACACTACTGCAGGGTAACGGGAGGTTCTCTGATGTAACACTACTGCAGTGTACACGGAAGGTTCTCTGGTGTAACACTACTGCAGGGTACACGGAAGGTTCTCTGGTGTAACACTACTGCAGGGTACACGGAAGGTTCTTTGGTGTAGCACAACTGCTGGGTACACGGAAGTCTAGCCAGGGTGGAAACACCCAACCAGACGCAACAATACATAACCACACTAACACACAACCACACCAACACACAACCACGCCAACACACAACCACGCCAACACACAACTACCCCTCCAAACAATCACCCTACAAACAACCTCTCCATAACTCGCTCTTTTCCTCAAATCATAACTAACGGTCTCCCAGCCTCTACTAACCGACCATTAATAACCAAAACTACAAATCACTCACCACTTTCAACTCTCCACCAACTACCATTTACTATACCATAATATTCTTATAGCTATGAGAAGGCATTTGTGTGTAATGCATTTAGCTTATGTACCAGTTTTGTTTAGACGTGTTTTAAGAGAATGTAACTTACTGCGCAGTCTGACTTCAGTTATAATCTTGATATGTCAAGATACCGAGGATGGTACGTGTATGTCGTGTGAAAAACTAGCTTGACGTATATATAAAGGTTTATTTAAAATAAAAAGGAGATTTTCTCGTGTTGAGGGAGAATAGAAATGAACTGTAATACATATGAAAACAAATACAAATTTTTATTTGTTTATGCGGTACAAAAATAATTTAGAATACATGTAATAAAACATTATTAGGCACTAAGGAGTCTCTAGTATGCAATGTATTACGGGTAAACTAATCCTAATGCTTAAAGACCACTTAAGAATTAGACGTAGATGATTAAGTAGAATTTTTTATGCAGTCAACTTACAGTAATATGTACAGAACGGTTGCTAATGAGTAAATGGTACAGTTTCAAAGATATGAAAAATATAATGCATGACTGTATGGAGTCTCTTAGCCTCGGTGAAATTAATGTCGTGTAGGGAGCGTCTGTAAAGTTCTGCTATATAATGTTTTGTATTTGTCACTGGATGTCGCGTGTTTACTGATGTTATATTGTTCCTTATATGTGACCCAGTACCTGTTTGTTCCCTCAGTCCCCCTTGGAAGAGGTGGTGCCGGAAGCGACGGGTCACGGAGCCATCATAATGGTGTCCTTAGTAATGCTGGTGTACGTCTATAGTGAGAAAACTTTCCGTCAGTTCCCCAGCCTGCACATAGTCATGTCCGGCTTGGTAGTCGTCACTGTCTTCGCCACCGACTTTGCTCTGACCTTCTACTACCATGACAACGATGTCAGCGGCGGTCAACACACGGTTGTCAAGGTGGGTTTAATGATCATTGAGAGAGTTTTGTGTTGGTTGACGTGGTGTGGTTTTCACTAATAAGGTTTGGTGTTCGAAGGTGAGATTAAATTGCATCCTAGCATGTTCTTTCTTACGTTGTCCATGGCAGTTGCAAATATTTATAGTTACTCTCCCATGTTTATTTCCATAAATAACAAAAAAAGGCACAATACCGTGACTGAAACGATGCACAAGTAACCCGCACATAGAAGAGAGGAGCTTACGACGACGTTTCGGTCCGACTTGGACCATTTACAAAGTTGATAAATTAGACATATATACAACTCTTGGGAATCTTCATTGAGTTGTATATGTGTCTAATTTATCAACATGTCGGTTCTCTGAACCATTCATCTACATTTACAAAGTCACACTGGACCGAAACGTTGTCGTAAGCTCATCTCTTCTATGTGCGGGTTATTTGCGTTTATTTCCATTATTTACATTATTTTTTTCAACAACTGAATATTTTCAACCGCTGAAATTTTCCTTTTTCAAATAAAAAATATCGCCCTTTGGTTGGCACAATCTGTAGTGAGAACTGTGTGTGTATTGATCACTTAGAAATAAATGAACATTAGTAACTGATATCTGTTGTAACCTTATCACACTTCTCCCCTAAATATAACACCATCTCACTTTTACCAAAAAATGTAACGCCATCTATCATTCATCACCAAATGTAACACAATACTGAATAAATCAAACGAATAAATCTAAAGATAAGCTGCAAAATGGCTCCTTGAGCTAAATAAAAGTGAAAATACTATATAGATACACACACACACAAATATAAAAACACACACCACATATATACATAAACGTAAAAACACACACCAGCGAAGAGACTGGGCCAGGAGCTATGAATCGACCCCTGCAACCACAACTAGATGATTGCAACCATGTAAATCCACACACACACACACACACACACACACACACACACACACACACACACACACACACACACACACACACAAGAAAAGACCGTGAAGTATGTGAAGAACTCAACAAGAGATTCAAAGAAGTGTTCACAGAGGAGACAGAAGGAGCTCCAGAAAGACGGAGAGGTGGGGCGCACCACCAGGTGCTGGACACAGTGCACACAACCGAGGAAGAAGTGAAGAGGCTTCTGAGTGAGCTAGATACCTCAAAGGCAATGGGGCCAGATAACATCTCCCCATGGGTATTGAGAGAGGGAGCAGAGGCGCTATGTGTACCCCTAACAACAATATTCAATACATCTATCGAAACAGGGAGATTGCCTGAGGCATGGAAGACAGCAAATGTAGTCCCAATCTTTAAAAAAGGAGACAGACATGAAGCATTAAACTACAGACCAGTGTCACTGACATGTATAGTATGCAAAATCATGGAGAAGATTATCAGGAGAAGAGTGGTGGAACACCTAGAAAGGAATGATCTCATCAACAGCAGCCAACATGGTTTCAGGGACGGGAAATCCTGTGTCACAAACCTACTGGAGTTCTATGACATGGTGACAGCAGTAAGACAAGAGAGAGAGGGGTGGGTGGATTGCATTTTCTTGGACTGCAAGAAGGCGTTTGACACAGTTCCACACAAGAGATTGGTGCAAAAACTGGAGGACCAAGCAGGGATAACAGGGAAGGCACTACAATGGATCAGGGAATACTTGTCAGGAAGACAGCAGCGAGTCATGGTACGTGGCGAGGTGTCAGAGTGGGCACCTGTGACCAGCGGGGTCCCGCAGGGGTCAGTCCTAGGACCAGTGCTGTTTCTGGTATTTGTGAACGACATGACGGAAGGAATAGACTCTGAGGTGTCCCTGTTTGCAGATGACGTGAAGTTGATGAGAAGAATTCACTCGATCGAAGACCAGGCAGAACTACAAAGGGATCTAGACAGGCTGCAGACCTGGTCCAGCAATTGGCTCCTGGAGTTCAATCCCACCAAGTGCAAAGTCATGAAGATTGGGGAAGGGCAAAGAAGGCCGCAGACGGAGTACAGTCTAGGGGGTCAGAGACTACAAACCTCACTCAAGGAAAAAGATCTTGGGGTGAGTATAACACCAGGCACATCTCCTGAAGCGCACATCAACCAAATAACTGCTGCAGCATATGGGCGCCTAGCAAACCTCAGAACAGCATTCCGACATCTTAATAAGGAATCATTCAGGACCCTGTACACCGTGTATGTTAGGCCCATATTGGAGTATGCGGCACCAGTTTGGAACCCACACCTAGCCAAGCACGTGAAGAAACTAGAGAAAGTGCAAAGGTTTGCAACAAGATTAGTCCCAGAGCTAAGAGGTATGTCCTACGAGGAGAGGTTAAGGGAAATCAACCTGACGACACTGGAGGACAGGAGGGATAGGGGGCACATGATAACGACATACAAAATACTGAGAGGAATTGACAAGGTGGACAAAGACAGGATGTTCCAGAGATTGGACACAGTAACAAGGGGACACAGTTGGAAGCTGAAGACACAGATGAATCACAGGGATGTTAGGAAGTATTTCTTCAGCCACAGAGTAGTCAGTAAGTGGAATAGTTTGGGAAGCGATGTAGTGGAGGCAGGATCCATACATAGCTTTAAGCAGAGGTATGATAAAGCTCACGGCTCAGGGAGAGTGATCTAGTAGCGATCAGTGAAGAGGCGGGGCCAGGAGCTCGGACTCGACCCCCGCAACCTCAACTAGGTGAGTACAACTAGGTGAGTACACACACACACACACACACACACACACACACACACACACACACACACACACACACACACACACACACACACACACACACACACACACACATACACACATGACACAGCCCTCACTTGTGTATATTGGTCTTTATTTCTTCTCACTGGGTTTCTACGGTCACTGACGGCTCCTCTTTCAGTTTGGAAACATGGTGTACTTGCTGCTGGTAATATACGTGTTCCTGCCCATTCCCCGAAAATGGCAGGTGATACTGATGGCTGTGCTACTAACTCTAGGCTACCTAGCACTGGGCTGCTATGCCATTAGTAGTTCCAACACCCTCTACGTTATCACCAGGGTAAGCACACACTGCTCTCCCCCCCTCCCCTATATTCATAAATGTACATAATAAATTGATCTCACTATGACATTGTGCAACACTTAGGTATCATTATTACAACAACGTTTCGCCTGCACAGAAGGCTTTATCACTTGATAAAGTCACCTATGCAGGAGGAACGTTTCTCATGTTCAGCATACTGTGGTATTATGTACCTTTAATCAAATCATTCAAATAATAATAATAATAATAATAATAATAATAATAATAATAATAAATAATAATAATAATAATAATAATAATAATAATAATAATAATAATAATAATAATATTGCATTATTAGATGTGTGTGGAGGTGATGGTGGTGGTGTGTGTGAACCTCGTGGGCGTTTACTGGCGCTTCATGAGCGAGGTTGCCTTCCGCAGAGCCTTCCTCGACAAGCGTGGAAACCTCGAGTCTAAACTTAAGGTAGTACTTTCCTCCCTCTCTCTCTCTCTCTCTCTCTCTCTCTCTCTCTCTCTCTCTCTCTCTCTCTTTCTTTATTTTTTTTTCTAATAGCCAGTGATAACTGCAGTATCCCCAGTGTCATGCTGTAACAGCATGAGGGGAAAATCATGCCAGTTGTGGCAGTAGAAAGACGTCTCAATGAAAGGTTTCTTAATGCTTGCAGTACGAGTCTTGGATGAGGGAGGTGGGGATGGGATATGGTTGTTGAGGCTTCTGGTAGGATCATTCTAACAGAAGTAATTATTTCTTGGGTTGCTGAGTTAGTCCCAAAGCGCTCTTCTGGTGACTTCACCATAATTAGGTATACTGCCAGGAACCCTTCTCTACCTGCCAGAGTTCCATCATCTTGCCACCAGGTAATGTGTTGACTGCTCAGGCTGGCAGAAGAACAATAGGGCAAGTGAGTCTTCCTGCTCGACGCCCTCTGGCGAGGCGATTTCTGCTTTCCAAACAGCAAAATAGATTTTTTGCTGTAATTAACAACAACAAAAAAAACGGTAAAAGACTAAGAAAATTATCATGAATTACTGGAAAGGGAACGTCTCTCTTCACTAGGTTAAAAAGTATTCCTGAAGTCTAGTTTAACAATGGCCTTATGATCGGAAAATCCCTGATGTAACCCCATGGTGCATAAGCTGCTTCAGTGCCTGAGAGATTGCGAAGTCAAGTTGGTTCAGCTGAAACAAACTGGCAGCTTCTCTGCAAATATTGTTCACTCCTACTTTGGCAATGAGACGGCCAGGGGTATTACCAATAGTGATGGACCTGTTTTGTCTTTAAGGCACGTAATGAGAACAGCTTAATTTCTTCAGGTATCAGCCCAGCAAGACAGGTGAAGACGAACGTTGCTAACTCCGAAAGGAGAATCATTGGGTAACAATTACATTCCACTGCCACATGTAAGATTACAATATATTTCCCCACTTTTAAAACTTCAGTGTAAATAGGATTTATATCAATCTAATATGCTATGAAAGCGTTCTAATGCTGGAATTTTCCCACGGGAATATTTTTTGTCATCAGTAATCAGAATTAAGTGGCTAGCTGGTCTAGTGGTTAGCGCGACGGGCTGGAGTTTTGAGACTCTATGACCGCGGGTTCAATCCCGGCCGGGGGTATGGTTTAATCAGAATTAATTTTCCTTGGGATTTGGGCAAGTAAGCAGAGGGTACTCTTGTACTGGTTGCCACTCCCTCCCTCTCTCCCCTGCCTGTGACTAAAGTGTAGAGTACATCTTTCCTTTGAAACAAATTACAATTTATTCAAGAATTTCTCAAGGTAAAGGAAGATTACAAAGATTAACTCCTCTGTCAACTTACAAATAATTTTGAAAGATCTTCAGAGCAATCCAGAATTTTACAGCAGTTACTGACGGTTATACTCGACAGCCTACACGAATTCTATTGAATTATGTTTAAAATGGAATGCTAAATAATGTTTTGTTACGAATCAATGAAACATAAATTTATTAATATTCATACTACAGATTTATCAAAATAGCTTAAGAATATAATTGTCTTACCCTACATTGTCTTACCCTAACATTGTCTTACCCTAACATTGTCTTACCCTAACATTTGTTTCACCACTGATTAAATTAAACTGTTGTAGCACTGTTTATCCTGTGATTTTATACGTTTATATGGAATCACATATGCTAATGTATTTTCTTCTCTACGCCGTGGTTGCATCACCGTGCTGTCACCACCTTGACTGCATCACCGTGCTGTCACCACCTTGACTGCATCACCGTGCTGTCACCACCTTGACTGCATCACCGTGCTGTCACCACCTTGACTGCATCACCGTGCTCTCACCACCTTGACTGCATCACCGTGCTGTCACCACCTTGACTGCATCACCGTGCTGTCACCACCTTGACTGCATCACCGTGCTCTCACCACCTTGACTGCATCACCGTGCTCTCACCACCTTGACTGCATCACCGTGCTCTCACCACCTTGACTGCATCACCGTTCCCTCATCAACGTGCCCCCTTCACTGTGACAGCTAGACGCAGAGAAACAGCAGGAAGAAAATCTTCTTTTGAGTGTGCTGCCAAAGAACATTATGCAGCAAGTTAAGGCTGCCTTCCGTGAGTCAATTTTGAAGTCTCAGAACACCACAGTCAGCCCCATTACCAAGAAGAACCCTTTCCCGTAAGTACCATGAGTCCTCACTTTCCCGTAAGTACCATGAGTCCTCACTTTCCCGTAAGTACCATGAGTCCTCACTTTCCCGTAAGAACCATGAGTCCTCACTTTCCCGTAAGTACCATGAGTCCTCACTTTCCCGTAAGTACCATGAGTCCTCACTTTCCCGTAAGTACCATGAGTCCTCACTTTCCTGCAAGTATCATGAGTCCTCACCATCCCGTAAGCACCATGAGTCCTCACCTTCACCTAGAAAGGCGAGAATTAGGGGGAGGGGATATGACTGAGATGTTTAATTGGAAATCAGGAATTAAAAAGGGGATGTAAATAGCGTGCTAAAAATATCTAACATTGGACTCGCAGCAATGGCTTTAATTTGGAAAAATTCAGATTCAGGAAGGATATAGGAAAGCACTGGTTTGGTAATAGAGTTGTGGATGAGTGGAACAAACTCCCGAGTACCGTCACAGACGCTAAGACGTTGTGTAGTTTTAAAAATAGGTTGGATAAATACATGAGTGGGTGTGGATGGGTGTGAGTTGGACCTGACTAGCATGTGCTACTAGGTCGGATGCACTGCTCTTCCCTTAAGTGACGTGTCTGACCTCACTAGGTCAAGGCATTGGCTTAAGCCGGTGGGAGAATTGGAGCTGCCTCGCATGGGCCAGTAGGCCTGTTGCAGTGTTTCTTATTTCTTATGTTCTTATGTTCTTAATTACTGTGAGTCCTCACCTCTTGTTGGTCCAGAGTTTAGAACTTGTGTTGCTCAACATGAAATTTAAGGAAAATTTACAATGGAGACAGGAAGGACTCCGAGAAGTCAGAATAGGATGGTACACCAACAAGTGTTGGAAGAAATACACACAACCAAGGAGGAGGTGAAGATGCTGCTAAGTGAACTTGATACCTTAAAGGCAGTGAGACCGGACAATATCTCTCCATGTGTCCTTAGAGAGGGAGCAGAGCCGCTGTGTGTGCCACTAACAATTTTCAACACATCCATTGAAACTGGGTAAATGTAGTCCCCATTTTTAAGAAAGGAGACAGACACGAGGCATTGAACTACAGACCAGTGTCACTGACGTATATGGTATGCAAAGTCATGGAAAAAATTATCCGGAGGAGAGTGGTGGAGCACTTAGAACGGAACAAGCTTATAAACGAAACCAGCACGGATTCAGGGAAGGAAAATCCTGTGTCACAAACCTACTGGAGTTTTATGACAAGGTAACCGAAGTAAGACACGAGAGTGAGGGGTGGGTAGATTGCATTTTCTTGGATTACAAGAAGGCCTTCGACACAGTTCCTCGCAAGAGATTAGCGGAAAAGCTAGAGGATCAGGCACACATAACAGGAAGGGCACTGCAATGGATCAGAGAATACCTGACAGGGAGGCAACAGTGAGCCGTGGTACGTGACAAGGTGTCAAAGTGGGCGCCTGTGACGAGCAGGGTTCCACAGGGTCAGTCCTAGGATGGGTGCTGTTTCTGGTATATGTGAACGACATGGTGGAAGGAATAGACTCAGAAGTGTTCCTGTTTGCAGATAATGTGAAGTTGATGAGAAGAATTCAATCGGACGAAGACCAGGCAGAACTACAAAGGGATCTAGACAGGTTGCAGGCCTGGTCCAGAAACTGGCTCCTGGAATTCAATCCTACCAAGTGCAAGGTCATGAAGATTGGGAAAAGGCAAAGAAGACCATAGACGGAGTACAGTCTAGGAGGCCAGAAACTGCAACCCTCACTCAAGGAAAAGGATCTTAGGGTGAGTGTAACACCGGGGGCACATTTGAGCCGCACATAAACCAAATAACTGCTGCAGCATATGGGCGCCTAGCAAACCTAAGAATAGCATTCTGACATCTCAATAAGGAATCGCTCAGGACCCTGTACACCGTGTATGTCAGGCCTATATTGCAGTATGTAGCACCCGTTTGGAACCCACACCTAGCCAAGAACGTAAGGAAATTAGCGAAAGTGCAAAGGTTAGCAACAAGACTAGTCCCGGAGCTACGGGGCATGTCCTACGAGGAGAGGTTAATGGAAATCGACCTGACAGCATTGGATTATAGGAGAGAGAGGGGGGGGACATGATAACTACATATAAATACTGAGGGGAATTGACAAGGTGGATAGGGACAGAATGTTCCACAGATGTGTCACAGCAAGACAGGGTCACAGTTGGAACCTGAAGATTCAGATGAGTCACAGGGATGTTAGGGAGTATTTCTTCAGTCATAGAATTGTCAGGAAGTGAAATAGTCTGAAGAGTGATATAGTGGAGGCAGAATCCATACATAGCTTTAAGAAGAGGTATGATAAAGCTCATGGAGCAGGGAGAGAGTGGCCCTAGTAGCGACCAGCGAAGAGGCAGGGGCCAGGAGCTCTGAATCGACCTTTGTAACCACAATTAGGTGAGTGCAGTTAGGTGCGTGCACAGACACACACACACACACTCTATCTTATACAGAGGTCCAAAAATAGATAAGATAAGGCTATTTTAAGACAGTAATCTCCAGTAAGTAATTAGATACTTTACAGTTGTCCCTTTCCGCTGCAGAAACCTGTACATTACCCGGCACAAGATGGTATCAATCCTGTATGCTGACATTGTCAACTTCACTCCTTTGACCACCAAACTCAGCGAGAAAGACCTGGTTGAGATGCTCAACGATCTCTTTGGCAAATTCGACGACGCTGTCGAGGTAAGTCCTTCACTATATTCACGGGAAAGCGCAGACCCCGAAGCCTTGATCTGAGGATGGGGGAAAGGTAGCTCAAATTCTTCGGGTCAAGAGTCCTATGTGTTCTTTGAATGGAGGTTCCCCAGTCGCCAAGCTCAAAACATTAAGAACACCGCCACGCTCTCAA